CAGTGGGAGCGAACCTAGTTCGAATCTGCCATTAAAAAATAGGGGTCTTTTCAGCAAAAAACGAATAACCCTTGAGTGCACACAATACACTGAATTTCGGAACAAATTTCGCATTAGTTACAGCAGCAGAATACCACAGAAATATCAGACAAAACATGAAAACACTATATATTGTATTTTGGCCTGAACCCTCTCTATTGCAATTCCAGGAATTACCCCCATATGTGCAACCATTTTCCACCTTGGTATCACCCAACCCTGAAAACAAATTCTTAATACCATGCTGAAGCGTTTGGTAATAATGAAACAAACCCAGGTCCTGGTAATATACAAAGACCTCAATTAACAAAGAAGTCAAGTTATTAAAGGTTTAGTCAGATTTATGAATGCAGTGAATGAAAGTTTTCAGTTATCAGATTAAGGGAAATCACTTTATGATGAGTTGTACCTACATAGAGTACATATTAATTCATTTGTTTGCAGATGTTCCATGTATTATTTTAACATGAGTATTTTATAATTAAATAACAAGGACTGTGACATTTATGTCTCATTTATTTTCACAAATTACATATAGCACACATTAACATCACACTAGTTAAAAACACTAAAATGCATCTCTTAATTATTTTGTTAAAACAGCCTCTGGTTTCTTGTATTAAATAAAAAAAAATCTACACTGTACCCTAGGTAAAAAAGATACTGCTTTAACAGATAGGAATGTGATTTGCAAAAGTACATGTACTCACTCACTCACTGTATGGAAATGTATTAAAATCAATAGTGGTTGTTCCAGTCTGAATTACCAAGATCTCTGGCAAACACTCCCAAGAAGATCAGTATTAAAGGTTGATTGCCATAAGACCATGCATGTTCACATTTTGTATAAACAATGCATTCATCCACATGCATATACAAGTCCAAACATACATGGTTGCTATGATACGGTTATTTTTGAGAATATAAGTGAACATTGTAACAATTTTGATTTTTGTCTCTATCAGCTATTAAATTTTCAAATTAAAATACATGAATTGTAAAGTTAAAATTTTAAGTAATCTTGTCTCTACTTTCCAAAATTAAATATATATAGGTATTTAATATATATACAAGTCATAATGTTATTTTAAAATATAATACTGGCAGAGTTCTGACAATAGCAGTAGTGTAGCTTTCCCAGAAACATAAAATACTACATATTATTAGTGTGAACGCAATATAATAAAACTACAAGTCAATTTTTTGTTGTTTAATTATTAAGTAAAGGCATTAAGAGTCAAGTCAAGGGAGTAGACTAAATTACCCACCCCAACAAGATATGGCTAATTAGGTGCAATATAATTTATAATTTGACTACGGTACATTCATGTGTTAAAATATACCAGTGAGTAAGTGTAAAAGGCAGTATATACCAGTGAGTATGTGTAAAAGGCAGTATATACCAGTGAGTATGTGTAAAAGGCAGTATATACCAGTGAGTATGTGTCCCAGAATTAAAACATGCAAAAAAAGAAATTTTATATATGGTCATGACAATACTTGGAAATGTACTCATCTACTTCAAATGCATCAGTAATTAGATATTCTTAAAGGGCCACTAGCTGCATTTCTTATGAGAAAATTATGATAACATTGGAATACAAGGCTTATGCTGATAGCATGAAAATACTGGAAGATAAATATTTATTTTTTGTTTGAGAATATCTTCTATCTGGGACTGTTTATGTGTACATGGTGGTGCTCAGTATATATTATAGTGTGTACAAGTATGGCTCAGTATATATTTAAGCATGACTAATTCAGCTCTAATGAAAGACATAAATACCACTATAGCTGTATTGTAGACAAATTAGCATATTACATTATATCATTTAGGGAACTTATAGTCTAATAAGAATTTTAGATTATTCAAAGTTAAACAATTGTACTATACAAATTGGCACCATGAGAAGTGCAGCTATAATGCGACTATAACACTGACATGTATGGGTGTACATCAGAAACACTCCTATCAATACCAAACACATGGCTGCATTTACCAAACCTAAACTGGTGCATCAAGTGAGGAGAAAGGGTGTCATGAAATGATCATATTCATCTCAATATGCAAACACAACAAACGTGCAAACACAACACTAAACATAGCTGTTTAGCCCCCAGTTATCTAATCATACATACCACTATCCCCCATGCCCCCCCCCCCCCCCCAATCCTTCTCCCATAGTTCCTGAGTCACTGCGGCCATGCCCTGAGTAAACCATAAAATCACTGAATCACTGATCTACAAATACGAAATGTGTTGAAGGAATAATTTGATATGACAGGTAAAGGAATGATTTGAATACTGATTTAAAATTATTTACTTGGACCAATCATTTTAATTGGTCGAACCCATTCATCAAACTGAGCCTCTGTAAGATGACCTAGTTTCAGTGCTGCCTCTTTCAATGTCGTCCCTTCCTTGTGTGCTGTTTTCGCAATAGCTGCTGCTTTGTCGTACCCAATGTAATGATTCAGACCAGTTACCAGCATAAGTGATTCTTTGAGATACCGGTTTATCTGAATATCATTTGGTAAGATGCCACGGATGCAGTTCTGTGTAAAGCAGACACTAACATCACCAAGCAGACGAACTGATTGCAATACATTGGCCACAATCATTGGTTTATATACATTCAGCTCTAAATGACCATTGCTAGCACCAATGGTTACTGCTGTTTGGTTTCCCATAACTTGTGCTGCTACCATGGTAACTGCCTCACACTGAGTTGGATTCACTTTACCTATAAGAAATGCAGGAGACAGTCGTTCTCATCAATTCAGAGATAAATCAACACTGTTTAATCATCACTTAGGTTAGCCTTGTGTAGGGTCACTTTGTCCATGCAATTGTGTCAAAAAGAATATTTTTGTGAGATTTAGTCATGTTTATGAGGTTATATTTAGACAGAAAAATGTTTAAAATCCCAGCAATTGTCGCTTTAAATATTCTGGGACGAGAAGAACAGAAGACCTGTAATCAGTTATCAGAGCAAATTATAATTCCTCTAGAAGAGCACTGCATAAAGCCAGGATGATAAAAGTTTTAGAATTTAACCAAAGAAAGCTTAGAAAGAACTCCTGTGTGCTGAAGGTATTGGAGACAAAGTACAATTAAGGAATACTGTATTTACTGTACATTTACAGTTAATATTTTCTATTACTTTTATTAGACCAAATACAGCATTTTAGAAATATAACTGCAAGCAATGAGCAGGGTGACTCCAAGTAGCTATTGTTTAACAATTATAAATATTTAACATACTAATTAGGTAATTAATTATGCATTATCTCAGACATCTATGTACCAAGTACCATTAACATCTGTTGAATAGTACACAAGAAACAAGTGAAAATGCCTAAAATTTGCTAATTAATATGCAAATTTGCTAATTAATATGCAGATTTGCTAATTAATATACACTGATTTCAACCAAAAAATAATCATGTCTGCACATTATCCCAGAGCAACTACGTACCAAGTTTCATTAAAATCAGATTATTGGTGAGATATCAATGGAACAGACACAGGGATACACACACTGACTCACTAACTACAAAAGACTTCCATTGCGTGCTTCGCACACAGGAGTAAAAAAATGAAGTGGTAATTTTTTTTTATTTTAAAATGGCTTAGGAGAGATGGTAGATGCAGTAAACTTTTGATTGAAATGAATTGGATGGTTGCGTACTGATGAAACCGACTATTGCAATTTACATCCTAAGTGCAAGTTTTACTGGCATTGTGCCTAATGGTCAATATGTTAGGGGAAAACCCTGCCAGAGATCAAACTGATTATCTCTTCAAAACTCCCCGACCGACCGACCGACCGACTGACCGACTGACCGACTGACTGACTGACCTGGCATAATACTGCTTCCGGGTTCATTTTCTGGCAGGATCAATTCACCGATACCGCAGCGAGGTCCAGATCCCAGCAGTCTCACATCATTGGCTATTTTCATCAGGCTACAAGCAACAACATTCAATGCTCCATGTACCTCTAACAGTGCATCATGGGATGCCAAGGCTTCAAATTTATTTGGAGCTGTTATGAATGGTAAACCTATTGAAATGAAAATGCATTGATACGATATTAAATTTGTAGCAATCTTCAGAAAAGAAAGAAACCAAAGTTTGTCTTTAGCAATTAAAAGATGATTTCTTTTGCACAAACAACATTCCAAAAAAATTTCTAGATGAAAATGACCCAATTTGCTTAATATAAAGAAATCTTGGTGAGTTTGTTTGTTCAGTTCTGATTAAATTATACAAAAGGCATTGACTAGTTACATGTATGACCATGATATTTATTGATCAACCAATGTGTCATTTCAATATATGACAGCACATAAATACTGTTGCTTTGTTTAGAAAGCACACATGGCAAATATTATCATCATAATCACCAGATACTTTGCTTTGTACTGTATCTCACCTGTCAGTTCAGCTATTTTTGTCGCAACCTTCTCTGGGAAACCAATTCTTGTGTTTAGTCCAGTACCAACAGCAGTACCACCTATGTCAAAAAATTTTACATTTCATCTCAAGCTTGACAGTGACTGGACCAATAATTAACACTTGACTCAATCATGTATGGCTCAAGTTCAAGTTTAAGTTTTATTGTTCTGTGTGTTCTAAGCTTGTTTTTCTCGTTATAATTGCCACATGAATGAAATTTATACGTATATCATTGTATTTATTTATGTACGTGGTATTGTACCAGAGAACATTTTCAATTTGTTAACCTCTAGGTAATAAAAAATTCCAGTTAAAGATTAATTTTTTTGTAATGTTTAGAATCACTCATATAGCTATTGATTTAATCTCCTAACATTAGATATTTTAGGTATCATTTCAATACTACATAGAATTGTAGTATACATACACACAGCAGCAACTAATCTAGATCGTTGTATCAGTGCATATATCAAGACAACAAACAAGTCATTGTCAAGACAGAACATGATATGTAACATTAGATTGTATGTAAATTACACCTGGTATTTCACCCAACATTGAACTCAAACTACATATACTTTTTGTAATTGTACTATTTAGCTTCTACGTGTGGCTGTCAACTGATCAACCGATTGTCAAAACATTGTCAAATTTAAATGGCACCTAGAGTGGGCCTTAGCATTTTCTTCAGATGCTGGGCAGGTTAGACCAATGAAGTAACCTGGAATGCTTTTGTTGGGTGTCAGCATCAAATTAAAATACTTAAAACAGCGACTAATTTACATAACTTCAAAAATCTGTTAAATCATTGGAAAAATCCATTTATTTTATCATTTAAAAAGGTTTATAGTATGATATTAAATGATATTAAAGTTGCCGCATTCATTTAAGAACTATGGACAGTAGATGACTATATTGCATGTTACGCATGTTAGAATCTAACGTGTACTGTAGGTTTTCTATGATAATCTTCAAGACTGGTCTAACATGCAAACTTATTTAGCAAGGTAGATTGCAGGTTACAGTTAGACATGTTACATTGGGCAAGTTTGAAAACAGAGTTGTCAGGAGGTGGTTGAAAACCATTGTAACAGGGGCGCTT